TCTCTCTCTCTCTCTCTCTCTCTCTCTCTCTCTCTCTCTCTCTCTCTCTCTCTCTCTCTCTCTCTCTCTCTATCTATCTATCTCTATCTCTCTCTATCTCCTTCTTCCCATGCACCCAACCACCGCCGTCCATCTGGCTCCCCCGTCCTCCTTCCCCCTCTCCCACCTCCCTCTCTTCCTCTCTCCCTCACAGGATAAGTGCATGCATATGCACACTTGCACGCCACCATGAACATGCAAACAAAAGGTGTCCTGCCGAGTGCCAAACAGACGGGAGATAGTAATTCAGACTAATTTGTGCTGAATAACACTCCTAATGGTGTTAATGATCCCTTATCTAATGTTACCATGAGGTATTTGCAGAGCGAACTGCTTGCCAGTTCGTGTTTTCTTCATGTCCTTCTCCATTTATACAGTGAAGAGCTATGCATTCCATTTTCTGTAACACTTCACATAGTCTCCCATTATCTTCCTCAGTGATTGCATCATTATTAGTCAAACACCACCTTATTGGGTCTTCTGATGCTCTATCTTCCTCCCCCTTCCGCACTCTGCCCCCTTAACACACACACACACACACACACACACACACACACACACACACACACACACACAGTGCCTCTTAAATCTGTCAAATGTAACTCCACTGACAAAAGTACATTGAACATCCAGACAACAACCCTCTCCTAAGCCCCTCCAAACCCCCCTTCCCAGGGGTACCCATGCTGCTCCCATTTCCAAAATTAGCAAAGTGTAAGATGATGAGGTCATAGCTTATAACACGTACACTAAGGTGAGATAACACCTTATCCCTTTGTTATGTTCACCAAGTTTTTGATAGCACCAATTCATTTGTTCTATTCTTGCAGTCAACTGTACTTGTGCGTTAAGAGCCTGGCTGATTTTCTGACATGGCCTTGCTTTATTTATGACTAACCGGTAGCTTCCTTTTCATTAAACAAAAACAAATACAAGGGAGTAAAATCCTCAACCCTTCCTGAACACCATACCACCCAACGCCTACGGTTTTCCCCTAATAGAATGTAAGGTCCTTATCGCTGTGTCTAAAATCAAAGTTACCCGAAATAGTAAAATACAGCTAAACAACCGTCCGTACTATTCACGGGAAGATGGTAGCCATGCCTAAACATCACAGTGATCAGTCCTGAACATCCTAGCACCACAACCCTAAATTTCACTCGATTCATTCAAGGTCTTTCAGCAACCAGATGGTAGTTGAGCATAAGCAAAGTTTTGCTAAACCTGCCAAGGCAATTTGTCCTTTAGGTTCGCAAAACACCGGGGACTGGCAAAAATCGCAGAACAATTCCTTAATTCCTTTGGCAATGGCCTTTTATATAGTGAGGAACGGGTCCCTGATTCAACCCCACCAGTAGGAAGACGTGTCTGTACACTAAAAAATAAGGAAATATTAACCTACAAATTACAATACTACCCCCCCCAGGCTGCCATCCATCACTGGGCAAGGTTGAGGCCGCGGTGTCACCAGCTCCTGTTCTCATCCATCACTGGTTGTGCATACATTTTGCATGAGGGTGAGAGGGTGCCACTCCTCTTCCTCCTCTGTTCCTCTGTTCCCCTCATCCTCTCCCATGATACGGCAGCTCACGTGGCACCCACGAATGTCATTTTGACAGAAGCTGTAAGTTCTCCTCCTCCTCCTCCTCCTCCTCCTCTCTTGTTGCTCCCACCTCGTCTTCTTGTTGCTCCCACCTCGTCTTCTTTCCTACCCTTGCCTTGATCTCCCCTATGCTTGACTTCTTTTTCAACTCTGTAGGCTACCAGACCCGCCTGTAGTTACCGTAATGTCAAGGCCCCAACGGTTCCTCTTCCTGTCCCCAACCCATGCTGTAGTTACCTCCTTGATCAGTAGTGGTGGGTCATACCTCACCTTAGCTGTACCCCTGATTGCCCCTACCGTACAGCATTGGCATCCCAGCCTCTGCCTTCCGCCCCTCTTCTTACCAAAACCCTTCCTGGGACCATCGTCATGAAGTCGTTATCGATCTTCAACAGAGAACTTAAAGAACAGCTAAGGTGCTGGTGCCGGTAATGTGATCCTCATGTCATCAAGGTTGCTTTTTGATCGTACCAGTTTGAGGAAGGATAGGTAATACTCTTCCTTGTCGAAGAGATCGGTTCACGGTGGCATTGACCGGGTGCCCGGAAACTGAATCATTGCCCTCGCCAGAATGTCAGATGACGCGGCGAAGAAACTTCGCAATCGTTTCAGCGACCATCTTGTCGGCCTGGTCCTGATCAATTCCCTTATCGCGACGCACTTTGGCACTAACATCCAATGAGTGGTTCCCGCCATCAACGACATACAGCTCACTCTCTGCAGTCATCCGAGTTCTAACATCCTTCAGCTTCTCCAGAGGACAAAGGCTGTCCTTATCCCCCTGGATGAAGAGAACCGGCACCTTGAGCTCCACGAGCGTCTCGTCACGAACCTTGCCGTTGATTCCACGAAGGGGATATCCCAAACACACGATCGATGACACACGGCTCGCCCATTCCGCACTTCCACCGACCATGCACCCTACACGCGACCCCATCGACTTGCCACATAAGACAACTGGATGACTGGGAAAAGCAGACACAGCCTTCTCTAGCTGCTCGACATGCTCATTGACAAGCCGCTCAGCCTTTGGTGGTGCAGCTCTCCTCCGGTCGCCTTTCGCCTTCATATAGGAGTAGTCAAAGGTAATGACTTTAACAGCATTCGTGAAGGATTCCAGAAGAGATTTCCACTTGACCATCCAATCAGATGATGATCCTGCACCTGCTCCATGAGCAAACAGAATCACGGGACGTGAACAACGAGGACCCTCACCCACCAGCTTGTCTGTAGATGGCAGCTGCAATGCATTCTCTCCACCTGGAGATGGAGATCCCCCCTTCTCACCACGTGGAGATGGGGATGCCTTGGCTCCACCTGGAGACGGGGATGCCTCATCTCCATGTGGAGATGGAGATGCATTCTCTCCAGGTGGACATGAAGATGACTTCTCTCGAAGAGGAGGTTCCCGCCTCCTTCGTTTTGAAGCGCCATCACCATTACTGTCCGCTTCATTCTCGTTCTCCTCTGGCTCCTGCCTTTTGCGCCTACGTGGCAGTGTCGTCTTCTTTTCTTCCTTCGTCTTCTTCATCAGATCGCTACTATGAGTGATGGAGTTGACTGACTGCTGTCCCCCTCAGCTGGGATCTTGCAACGCCCCCTTCCCGCTCCCCCGCTATGCACCTGTGACCTGGCAAGGACCCCTCTGTTGGCTATCAGTGAGCCAATGAGTCAGAGCTACACAAGACAAGTAGGCAATAAAGCACAGAAGAAAGAAAAGCTGTTGCACAGTCAATGCTTATGTTTCCCCATGTGACAAAAGACTTCTATGTAGCATTAGGTACCGATTAATTTCCCCTGCTCAACCTCTCTCCGCACGCAGAAAAAGGGGTCTCAAAACAATGCATCTTCACACGCAAATGACCTTTCCTCAATCCAACAATGAAATCGGCTCATGGAGTGATTAATCAATGGGAGGATCAGGCTTAAGCTCTGGAGACACTCGGATTACAAACACCATGCCTTCTCTCAATATCCAACATGCATACTGTCACGACTCACAAGGCAATTAGCAGAAGTGACAAAGCACTGATCTTGTCATGCTGCAGCATACGATGACACTTCCACTCGTGCTGAGGACCATCTGAAGAGTCTGCCACACTGGAGCTCCTACTTGTTGTCCACCAGGCGAGTGTCCACCAACTCTTCCCTTCTCCACAGCCTTCTTCTTCCCCAAAGCATCTGCCCGTCTAGCGCCACCTTCCTCCACCTCGGCACCGCACAGCTGTGGTGCCGGCCTTCTCCCCAGCCATGGCTGCCGCTGGCCTGATACTGTATGCTGCCCTACCCACCGGTCAACAGGCTGCCCAATCATCCTGGCACCATCTATCACAGGCCTCTGGTCTGGGTCTGCTTTTCTAAGACTAGCTATTGCTGGTGCTGGCCTGTCAGCTGAAGGCGCAGCTCACACAAGCGTCCAGCAGCCTGTACGCCAAACTTCCTCCAACAAAGACGAATACTTTAGGATGATCGGTGCTACCGAACCAAAATGGCTGCTGCCGCCACCCAAAGAAAACACTAAATTGTTGCCACTCCGGGTGCTTTTGGTCCGCACAGTCTCGGACATAGTGGTGGTTTAAGTACTTGGGACGTCTTCTGTACAGCCAGTAGGCAACGCCTTTCAAAGTCTTCCGGTTTTGGTATTGCCGTACCGGGTCCTAGACAATCTGGCCGGCCCCAACCCCTGGTCTAACTGGGTTTTACCCCTTTGGGCCTGTGCCAATGGGCTTACCGGCCCTGGGCTGTCTTTCTGGGAGGACCTAGGTCCTTGTTCTTTTGAAATTCCACTGAAATGCCAGCCCCAGAGCAGGAGAAGTTCGGAATCAGGTGTGCTAGAGCCCGGTACAAAATGGATGTGGGGCGGCAGGTGAAGATGTCCACTCCAAATTCAGGGGCTGCTTTTTCTGTCACCCTTTACTGTGGATCTCAAATGCTGAAATGCCGGAACCGCCTAAAACATCTACTAAAATAGTGGTGCCATGATGTGCCTGGACTATGTGGCTGACTGGTACACACATGAGACTGCTAGTAAACAGGTCATGAGTTCGAATTGTGACGGAAGCAGATGAAATAATATCAGGCGCTACCAGCTAACACTTTCGGGAAAAAAAACAAAAGCTATGGCATGTAAATTTGCCCTGCCTTGACAACTGGGTCCACTTGAAGATGCACAGCTGTGATACTACATGAGACTATATCCGTGGTCTCTCCTGGGGAGAGGCCCCACTTACTCCGGTTCTGCATGACAGGTTGTTGATCTCCATTGTCAATGGTTGGAAAGAAGGGATCACTGCAAGTAGTGGAACTTCAGCCCTGATCGTTGCCATTATGCAAGGAATATGAGCGAGAGTGATAGACAGAAATTCAAATTGCAAAATCACGCTGTAGTCCAGATAGTCATGTACCAAGCAGAGAGCACAATGCACCAAGATACCATCTAAATAAGAGCAATACAATGAACTCAAATGTAAACGCCGACACTCTCTGGCCACACTGACATAGTATTCAATGTCGCTCCTACTGATTGGCGCCCAGCGCCCAGCCTACACTTCTCAGCCTATCTAGCCTATCTAGCCTATCTACGTTCATGCAACAAGATCAAATCGAAGTTGAAGACCAATGCGCATGACGTCATCACCAATGCAGATCACCAGCATACACCAGGTACATTTCTCTCTCCTCCCCTCATCACCCCTGACTCCCCTCTCTCTGCGCCTCCTACCCGAAGACCACCATCGCCATCACCGCGCCTGTGCCCAGCAGCCCGGCTATGGCCGCTGTGAGCCCGTTGCCACAGCAGCGCACCTCTCTCACCTCTGCGCCCGTGTGCGTGTCTGGCCCGCAGCACTAGCACAGCTGCTTCATGGGCTAATGCAGCAGCGTGGCCGCATTGCCCACTCAGGCCAGAATGCCTGAAGCTGGGGCAGGCACTTTCCTTTATGGAAAATGTGCCCTGCTTCGGCCTCTGCTTGGGCCTGCTGGGCTGGGGGCCCAGTAGCTTCACGTTGGGCCAAAGTGTCTGCGTCCTGGGCCCTTCAGACAGTTACAAGGGCCCGCAGCATCAAGTGTGCCCCGTCCACCAGGCTCCAAGTGTTTGCTGCCATCTCATATTGGCTCGTGGCAGGTGTGTGACTGTGGCATACTGCGCAGCCACACGGGCCTGCAGGGCCTGTCCCGCAGTCTCAGCCTAAAAGCCTAGAAACAAGGGCTTACAGGCCCCGTGTCGTTTCAGCCTGAAAGACTGAAAAACGAGGGCCTGCAGGCCCTATGACGTTTCAGCCTAAAACAGGGCCTTCCAGGCCCTGAGTCTTTTCAGCCTGAAACGGAGGGCCACTTTCGGGCCCTCATAAGATCAACCTGCCCTAACACTCAGGCACTAAACCAGGGTTTTGGGAACAGACTACTTTTGGCCTGTTCCCACGCCAGCCTCAGCAGGAGCTGCAGCGGCAGGCCCTGGCTCACCTCGGCATTGGCAAGAGCAGCCTCCTGGACTGCCCCGCCCTGCAGCTGCAGGCAGTCAGGAGGCAGGCCGAGGTAGTACATAGGGAGTTCCCATGCACTTCAAGGGCAGTCAGAGGCCGAGGCAGTAGTAGTCTTCAGGATTCGGCAGCAGCACTCTGGAGGAGCGCTGCAGGAGTAGATTAGCGCTAGCAGTAGTCTTCAGCGCTGGGCGCTAGTAGCAGTAGCAGTAGTCTTCAGTGCTGGGCGCTAGTAGAGGTAGAGGAGGTGAGAGAGAGAGATGGCTGGCGGAGGCCAGGGAGACTTACCTGTGGCGCCATAGCTCCAGCTTCATCTTCAAGGTACCTGCATCAAGGCGCCAACTTCACAGGTTAGTACCGGACACACAGAGAGAGAGAGAGAGAGAGAGAGAGAGAGAG